CCATCTGCCAGCTGCACACGCCAGCTGCCGGCCACTCACGGTAGCTTATAGCAGCCCACTGCAGCCTACGCTGTCACCGGTGACTCATGGCAGCCCAGCTCCAGGTCAGGCTGTTGTTCACCATCTTAGCTGTAGAGGGCGCAGCGTCACTGGCCCATGTGGGATTCAAACTGGCAGCCCTGCTGCTTAGAGCTTGCGTTCCCAAGCCAACTCTTAACCAACAAGCTGCTCGGCCAGCCTTATTTTAATTTGTATTTAATTTTTATGCATAGTGAATTCATATGTTTGCCATGTTTTATTGATGTATTTAAGTGTTTTATGTGCAGTATACAGATAGAACTTTCTCCAATTAGTTGACCAACCTATTTGTATTTCAAAAAATACTTGAATATAAATCAAATTTGGAAGAATATACAATATAACATTGAGTCATCTCAACCATTATATCTCTTTAAGTCACTTGTGCCTCTCAAGAACGATTTTTTTTTTGTTCTTTTTCCTGTTTTATTTTATTGGATCTCCTACCACCACTTCTTCCTGTTTGAGAATCCCTAGGCTAAAAATTAAAGAACAGTGTTAGAAAGTTGTGCTAGCAGGCATCCTTGTCCAATTCTTTACTTTTACAGGGATATCTCCAGTGTTTTATTCACTCTTAAGTATGATTTTGACCCTTTATTTGAGATAAATATTTTTAATCACAGTACAAAAATACCTTGTTACTTCTAATTTATTGAGCTTTTCTCTTTAGATTGGAAATGAAAATTGTAATTTACCAAATGTCGTTTTGGCATTTATGACAAATATTTAGCTTTTTTTTAACTTACTTTTTTTATCAGTTATAAATAAATTCACTAATATATTATTGATTTTACCTTTATATAAAATGTAGTTCAGAGCACATTCATAACTATTTCAGTAGTGGGAGAGGAGTTGCCTCGGAGCCACAAGTTGTAGAGGGAAGACAAGGGGGTATTTAAAACAATGTACTCATTTAATAGCTTTGTCCAAAGCCAGGGCTGCTGAAGCTCGCCTGGGACCAGAGTAAATTTTGACACGGTTACCTATGTTTTCCTAAGTTTGTAATATAGGAAGGCTTTTCTGGGGGAAGAGTGGTTGCTTTTTTTTGTTGTTTAACATAGGTTACCCCAAATTTATTAAGGATGGTTGATGGCCCAACTTACAGAGAGGTGGTTTTGTTTTGTTTTGTTTTGTTTTGATTTGCTTTGGCACACTCCTATAGCTTGCTCTCTTTCCATGCTGACCCCTGCAAGAGAATAAGTTTGACTGATAGTCATACCAAAGGCCTGTTTTGTTCTGCATTTCCACATTGCCACCATACAGGGTACAGTGGTAGGGATGTGTTATAGATAAGTTTTCTTCTTTCCATAAGGAAGACATACCAAGTTAGAATAATGAGCAGCGTAACTCTTTCCATGGTCCTACCCAAAAGATAAGTTTTTCTTATTTAAGTTGAGAATTACACTTTTTAGAGAAAAAAAGAAAAAGAATGTTTTTTTTTCCTTCTTTTCTTAACATTCCATTGTAGGGAATAGCAGTTTTATAAGAATTGCAAGAAAGCAAAACCTGGAACCTTATAGATTGACACTAAACTTAAAATGTAGCTTTCTCTTATTTCTAATTAAGTCAGAGTACAAATATTAAGAGTACCATAGCTACCAATCTTCATTGAGCCCTGACATGGTCCCAATACACATATATGATAGGAAGTGAAATTTTCTGCAATGTGTCTTAGCTCACTTAAATGAACAATAAATTCTAAAAAGGAATGTCATTTGCTCTCTCCCCCCATTATTATGAAGTTGAGAGTATATCTGTCAGATTGAGTATTGACTATAGATGTGCTGCTTTTCAATAATAATAAGTTACTTTGAAAGTACGAATACAAATGATGAGAATGGGGAGTGAGGAAGCCATGCAGTAGTGATATTTAAGGACTGGGTATTTTGTTTTTAAGTTTGGGGCTTGAAATACCTTCATTTGGATTGAGACACAATTTGTTCACCAAGTGAAGACTGAAAGGAATTGTAGGTAGATGTGCTGCTATGCCCAGAACAGTGAGCAGGCCTACTTATAAGAATTTGGGGGCAGTTTTATGGGATAAGCAGATCATGCAAGGTGAGTGGTTACGACTTGATATTGTGGCTCAGTCAGATAAGCCACCATTGAAGGAATGGAGGTACGTATTTAGCTTTAGACTTAGGTGAAAAGAAGGTTGAACAAAAATGCGGTGTCTTCTGTGTTCATTTAATCTCCTCAGTAGTCCTGTGTGATATCATTGTTATTTTACTACTGGCAAGAAAACTTAAGTCTCAGAGAGTTTAAATAATTTATCAGTAGCCTACACAATTAAGTGATAGGGTAGATTCTGATGAAAGTCTCTGACACTTTTAAACCCAAGTTCATTCTCCCATTCTGCCATTGCTTGGTCTAGAAGAGATGAAATTCTTAAGAGACTCTAACATGAATCAAAAACTCTAACACGAATCAAACTAATTCAGTTAAGTGCCATAACTATATATAGTTTGACCTTGAAGATCTCTGGTACTTAAGGGCTATTAACCCAGGATAAATATAGTGGGTGCACTATGAATTCCAAGGAATTGATGGTATTTTAAGCAAAACCTTCCCTGAATCACAGATTGGTGGGAGTAGTGGATATGCTAAAGAAATGGTTAAAGGAAAATTTCTATAGGAATTTGTAAATTTTATTACATTTCTCACATTGAAAGAAAGTATACATCTTTTAAAGAAATACAGCTATATCCTTATTGAAAAT